ACTTACATTAAGATCTGTCATTTTTACTTCATTTTAGTTTTTTCTATTGTCGAAAAGGAATTATTTCTTTTCGCATCACTTTGTTTTGTAAAATGTACTTATTATTTTGTATCAAGTTACATGTTCTTTTTTTTCAACTTCCTCCTTACCACTCTCTCAGTATTTCCTTTACTGTTCCTCAGTTTTACAATTGTGCTAAAATTTTTTAGCATGGTTATGAATCACTAGTGGGTAAAGTTTTTGCATTAAGTTTATTGCATTTTAATTCTCGCCTTTTGAAGTCTTAATAATTGTTTTTAGCGAGAATAATTCACTAAGCTACCGTTTACTGGAATGATTTAGCTAGGTATTAGTTGTTCTTACGAACTTTGTTACAACTGTTGTATTAGAGAGAACGTGTAGGGTTTTTCTAAAAAAATATTAGTAATAATATAAAGGTAATTTTCTGAGATGTATTGCTTTGCGAGTTGGCCAACAAAAAAAAAAAAAATTAGATATTTCTCTAGGCTAGTAGAATGAGGTTTATCTGGGCGTCTATGTCATGTGACCTACATTCTTTGATTGCTTAGACACATTTTTACTTTTGTTTTTGAAAGGGTTGTGTTATAGTCAATGAAAGGATGGGAACGCTTTTCGTTCTATGATGTCTTTGGTCAATGTAAAAAGAAAGGAAAGAAAAAGCATGTGTATTTTTAAATTGTCTAGATCTGTTTAGTATCAAATTTATGCAATTATTAAAGTCAAACAGTACTGAAATCAACCAGTAATGGCGTCTAAATTTCTGTAGTTTATTATTGAATGCTTGAAAATACTACTTCTGGGTATATTTTTACAACTGATTTTTATGATCTAATCAAAGTGTAACATAGATTTACTAAAGGATAGAATTTTTCCAGTAATAGCAAAGACTTTTTAAAGATGATTTTAAGCACATACGACAAATTGTTCAGCTGGCATTATTCTTTAATCAAAACGTGAACACTTTTCACTTCTAAGTTCAGTTATTTGGGAGTAACATAAATTCTCGTGGCATTAAAAAGCGTGTCTACTCAGCTATTACAATTATGATTTAAGTGGCGCAATAAGCAATTGAACAGTTCGCTCGAAGCAGCTTTATTATTTTGTAGCTTAGCCTTTTAGAGCATTAATGATGGTTTCTCGTCCACTTTTTTTGGTCGTGTCCAAGGCAGTAGAGAATCGTTTAAGTCTTTAAGATTGGTAAAAGCTTGGCATTATTTGCGATCAAATGACAGCTGCTCTCTAATAATGAAGAGTTTTGCGAGGTAAGATCTGAAGTGGTGAAAATCTCCTGTTTTTGAAGATTTATATATTAAAAGTTACCTGCGCCAATCCTTCTCGCATAAATAAGGGCTGTTAATTTATAAATAGTGGGTGTTTTTTAGTAAACATGGAAACCCTGATCGCCCTTGCGTAGTTGTAGTCTAATTTGGAAGACAAAAACGGAGGGTTTCTGTGCCGTGAGATTCACTGTAGGTCCCAGAAAGAAGTGGAAAAAGAAAAAAAGCATGTACAAATCTAAGATAAGTGGTTGACAAGAATAGTAGGAGGAATTTTGGATAATCTTGCTTGTACTTAAGGGAAAACATCTAATCTTAAAGACTTTTCCTAGGCAAATAAGAAGAAATAAAAGGAATTCTAAAGCAAAGCTTTTCATAATTTTCCTTTCATATGTGGTATTTAGTGGTGTTTATAGATTTACTGTACTATTTTCTAATTTTTTCATCTGTTAAGGCATTGTAAACGTATGTTTTAAAAATTGAAAATTTAAGCACTATTTTTTTTATTTTTAATATCTGGTGGGGTGGTTTTTTGTTGAACGAAAAAGTGTACTGGTTTGAAATTTTTTCCCGATAGAGTTCGATAGAACAGTTTAGTTTCTTAACCTTTAGCTCTGAAAAGGAAAATACTTCTCCACGTGTTTGTTAGCAGTGCGTTATTTCAATTTTTTGTTAAACATTAGTTTATTTGTTATTAGTAATTGTCGTAAAGGCTGGATGAAAGATGAAGGAGCGAGTCCCACGCAATATGGTTTGAGAGTTTGTGTTAAGTTAGGCGATCAGAGAGAGTAAGCTGGTATTATGGAAAAGGATAGTGGTGGTTAAAAAGCGACTGAAACAGGATTTGAAATCGTCGTAATACTAATTTTTAACTCAAAAGTAATGAAGTGATAGCTCAATTCTGGATACATTTTAGCTACTGCTCCCGTCTACATTGTTCTGAATGTAAAAAGGGCGCGGTGAAAGTCAGTGTTTCAGTGGGATTAAAAAAATAATCAGGTATATAATGGATTACTAAATAAAAGGTAATTTAAACGGAGCATTTCGACCTGTAAATTGTGGAAAGTACGGGGTATACTATATTGATCTAGTTATAAAAGTAAAATGTGAGTCAATCATACCTTTTGTGAAAGCACAGAAAAATAATAAAATTTATAAAAAAATTGAAAGTATCACAAAGTTTTTATTTATATAATGCAATTTGTTGATTATTAACGCAAAAATCGGTTTTACTTCCGCAGAAAAAAAGTTGCAACCTAGTGGAGATACACTGCTTGTAACTGAAAACTATTACTAGTTTCACTGCACCATTACATATTCACATTTTTTAATAGTACTTCGGCTATTAAAAAAAGGAATTATGCATTAATTTCGTAGAGGTCTGTCTAAAGAGATACTAGTAAGATCTTTTTTGTTTGCGAGACGTCCTTTAACCTTGCTTTTCGTTGGAAAAGCTTTCGTGCATTTAGATATTCCTCGTGTTTATAAAGTTAATTTTTAGCGACCACGTAGTGCTTTGATTAAGCATTATGTTGGGGATTCCATTCCTCGACTACGCATTCCTAAAGCTTTTTGCTCCAAGTACATATGATGACCGTGTCGACAGGCTAAATTATTTCGTTACAGCTTCATTACTCACCTTTTTCGCAATCTTGGTGTCTGCTAAGCAGTAAGCCATTAGCCTTATTTCTAATTCAGTTGTCTAACGTCGGTAGTTTGTAGGGTGAAACGACACTTTGAGGTTTTAGTAGTTTTTAAACAAAGAAAATTACGGCTAATCTCTGATGTTTTTCAACTTCGCGAATTTTTATAATTAATTGTTTTTTGAAAATTAACATTTATTGACCTTGGAATTGGAAGTGCAGGAGAAAGGGGCAGGTGTATTGTTGCGTAAAAGATACGCTGATTGTTAAAGTAGGGTGTATTTTTCGGAAGTAGTTTTTTGGTCCATTCTTTTGTTTGAAAAAAGATCGAATCGAAAGAAAAGTTTAAAAGAGGAAAGAACTGGGAACAAACTGCAACTTTACACCAGAAAGGTGATTTTAATTGAGAGTTCTATTTATTTGACTTGATTGACAGAGGAATTTTTGAAACTCTGAAGGGCGTTATTAGTTATTCAGTCACTTAGAATAGACAGAAATTTATTTGGTTTTGGAAAAAAAGAACTGTTGTGGTTATAGATATGTTGGTTCCCCTATCCAGTGCTGGATGCCTATGGAATTCAAGGGAGGTTGGGAAGAATATGCTGAAGATTACTGCTTCATTCAGGTAACGTTCCTCTTACGCTGAGCGAATTCTTGAGCTGTTATAATAAATTTTTTTAGCAACGTTTTGCAGTGGGGAAATTTCTGAATGAAAGTAACAGAATGTTGAAAAAAATCTACAAAAAAAAAGTTTTTAGGAACTTATAATTTTCAAATTTTTATTTTTTCAAAGACGACCAAATGGAGTGTAATGAAGAATAATATTTCTTCCAGAATACGTACTGGGTTAGCTTCAAAGAGGATGTCCCTAAAAGTGTTGAGAATAGACAAGAAGCAGAAATTGGTTACTATCAATGGGTACCGATAGTTCTGGCATTGCAAGCTCTTATGTTCTTTATACCTGCCTGGATATGGAAAACGCTCAACAAACAAAGCGGTTTGCCTGTTGAACAAATTTATATTATTATTTAGCAGTAAACTATAGAATTCTGTGCATATTTTCCTCCAACTAATCTTTAAATTTTAAATTTCTAGGGCTGGACTTGGATACAATTGTTAAAGAGGCTAAAAAAGTCAGAGCAGCAAAATCTGAGGATCGGAAAACAGAGATTTCGAAACTTTCATTATATATCTCAGAAAACCTTGAGTTTGACGCGAATCGAACTACGCGGCATTTTCTGTTTTTTAATTTTGGACGATCGCTTGGCTCGTATTGTTCTGTCCTGTATCTCATTGTGAAATTGCTTTACGTTGTAAACATAATCACACAGTTCATCATACTGAACAATTTCCTCGGAAGCGATCACAGTTTGTGGGGATTTTCTGTAAGTATAGTAGCTTATCAGTTGTAAATTACCTCTGCAATTATACCTGTTAATAGATTTTCAGTGGCTGTATTAGACTGTAATTTAAGTATTATCCTACATATTCCAGACTATGTATGATTTGTGGAACGGCAGAGAATGGTCCGATTCTGGGGTATTTCCTCGGGTTACGATGTGTGACTTTAGCGTACGACGCCTCGCTAACCTCCACCGGTACACGGTGCAATGCGTCCTGATGATTAACATGTTCAACGAGAAGATCTACTTGTTCATTTGGTACTTGAAATTTCCGTTCCCATCAGTAATGTGAACGTTCGTTTTTTCTCTCATCTCAATTCTTCAGGTTCTGGTTCCTGTTTGTTGCCATTTCTACCGTATTCAACTGTATTTACTGGTTCTTCACCCTAATTTTAGCTCACAGTCGTGAGCGAACTGCTCGTACTTTGCTCACTAATATGAAACTCGACGACTCGGCTAACATGGACAAAAGAATATTTAGGCGGTTTGTCCATAAAGGATTAAGGACTGGTAATATTTGCTGGTTGTATTGATATATTCCTTCAAATTCATTGCTCATTCCCAACGTTGCGTTTTCGTTATAGATGGAGTTCTCCTTTTGCGTTTCATTGACACTTACGCGGGTGGGATGACTGCGAGAGACCTTTGTTCGCAACTTTTTGTTAATTATTATGGTGACGTGGATACTCACTATTTGCGAGCTCCTGGTAGCCAGACAACAAAAAGCACATCTCCTGGAATTGATGAGGGTTTTACTGAAGGGCATTATAACTCCGACAAAGTAAGGTTCAATAATTTTCACTTTCTAGTGACTTACTGCTCATTACTCGCTGCGTAAGTAAGGTCAGTACAGTCAGAAAGCAATTATTGCGCCTGTATTTATATTTGCTAGTTGATGTTTTCCATTACAGCTAAATGGACCTCTTCTGCAGCCGGATGCAGGTTATCCTGAATCGCCAAAATCAAAGAACATTTAATTAGCATTTCTTAACATGATCTCCATGACCTTTGAGGTTTCTAAATGTTTGGTTTCCGTTATACAAATATGTTTGTTTGTTTTTTCAACTTTCTCAGTGATGTGTTCTTTTGTACGCGTAATTAATGGTCACGAAAATTTCTTCACCACGGTCACGAAGGACTTCTTTATAGGTTGATTAAGAATTTTGGTTGGTGCTGCTTTAAGTCCCGGAAAAGTCTTTACTTTAATTTTGTTCAATGGGTAATAATTCACTCTTTTCCTCTCAATTATATTTCAAAACTCCGAGACTTGTGAGGCATTTTTCTTGTTTATGCACTAAACGTCAGATCTGAAAAATAGGGACAGTTACAAAAAATGAAGGTATCTGGTACATGCTTCTTGTCCGCCTAAGTTAACAGCTGTTTTAACGATGATTACTTCTCATTTGTTGATGGATTACAGTTTCAACAAAACACTTTTGCTCTCTTATGTATTGTATATTTGACAGCTTTTCACTTGTAAGTGTTAATTCTAATTTTAATTTTTTAAAGTTTTTCAAGTTTCATAAGCGCCTGGCTGGAAACTAATTTGAAGGTTACGTTTACTGGAGAGACTTTAAGGAGCGGGTCTTGAATCGTAAAACACAGAGCGCTTCTTACACTATGCTCAAGTTACTTATGTTTTGATTAGATGCGTAGTGGTGTTTCCTTGTGTCTTTCATAAAAAGTAATGCTTTTTCTGCTCCGTTGTTCTTACTTTTGTTCTTTTTTGGTACCTTGTATTTGTACATTTCTCTTCTAGATCCTTCGCTTTAACACTGTTGTTAGTTGACATTGATCTTAATAAGTCTTCAAAGTGGTATTAAATGTATATCCACTTGGCAACTGAACATTGTTTAGGATACTCGTATATAAATATTCAGACAACTTTGTGTTCAACGAGACTCTGAGGTCTATTTAGAGCGTAGTTATACGATATGAAGAGATTAACTAAGCACATGACAAATAAACTATAAAGAAGGGGATAATTATGAGAATTGATGAGAAAAAGCGTTCTTCAAAGAGTTTTGATACAGTTTATTATGGCATAACGTTTTTCAGTTCTGTCTAATAGGCTTTAGCACAGGGGACAGGAAGGAGCACAAATCAAATGATTTAATTTTTTTAAAGAAGGTTTGGTTTTACGATTGTTCCAGAGGGTAGTAGAATAGATCTCCATTTGGAGGTGCATTGGGTTGAAGGTTTAATATTTTTGAAATTAGAAGTGAAGACAGCTAGGATGGTTGCTTTTTGATCATTGGTACAAAATTCTCTATTTCCAGAACTGAACTATTTTCGGTTTTCAAACAAAATAAAAAACAAAAATTTTGATGAGTGAGCCTTATGCAAAAAACTTTCAGTTCATAGCATTTGCAGTTTCTGACATGAAGATGTTGTTAACAGTTTAGTGAATGCTTGAGCAAAGATATCTGTCTGGCGACAAGAAGTTCTCTAAGAAAAATGAAAGAATATTCTGGTGGAAAGCATTTTAAGGAGTAGCAAACGACAGGAAAGCAACAGCGGTAGCACAGAAATCAGCAAATTTGGAACTTACTTGGACGATTCGATGTCGTATGCTGTCGATACTGAAATATCGCTCATCGTCCAGTAGTTACACAGTTAGCTGTCCAACTTCTTTCGTCCACTAAATATCACTAGTAGAGCAAAGCAGTGCTATCAGAGATGGGGAAGGTGGGGGTAATGCAGGAAAAAAAATGAAATAAGCGTATTAATAATGGCAGAGAAGTTTCAGAGTAGTATTTCCATTAGATGATTGCCTTTTCTAAACGAAATAATGCATTGCTTCCTTTATTTTCGTTTAT